TCTGGCCCCCACTGTTACTCAAGGGCAGGCTCCAGGAGCTCCTTCCAGATGTGGCACAAGCTCTAGACCTGAGACTCTTGAATTTTCCTTTTTGGTGTTTTTTTTTTTAACATCACTTCCTCTTTCCTCACATGCAGGTTCATGCTTTTATCAAGAGGTCTGACGCTGAGGAAGTGGATTTTGCAGGTTGGCTCTGCTCCACCATCGGCCTTAACCAGCCCAGCACACCCACTCATGCGGCTGGTGTCTAAGCATTTGGGAATCAGCAAAGAGCGAGTCCCTGCCCAGTGGCATGTCATGTTGCTCTCGGGCCTTTCCCATGCCTCTGTTCAGATTGCATTTCACATATGACAAAGGATGAAGAACTCAGCATGTGCCAAAATTCTGTGTGTGTCATTTTTAATATCACCATCCTTATTCTTACTATTGTTATTCCCTAAGTGGATTGGCTTTGTGCTTGGGGCTATTTTGTGTGTGTCGATGATCAAAACATGTGCAACATTGAATTACAGTGAAACCTTGGCAACTGTGAGTAGTCTTTCTTACTGAATATTGCACTGCTCTCCCCTCACCATGATTGGCTGGCCACCTGTATTTGGGGGGATTCTTTTGACACTTGGTGGTACTTCATTCTTGCTGGGCATACCTTCTTTCTACTTGAGGAAGGAGCCTTGTGAGAGCCTTCACAGGCAGTGCATGTGAAGCATGCTTTGCTGCTATGAAAATAAGCATCAGAACGTGTATGTCATGATATTTTACTATGTTTTTTGCTTTTGGTATAGAATTAAGCAATTTCTATCAAAATCTAGTCAGAGCCCTTCACTGCCATGATAATTGGGGCTTCACCAGTCTGTCTACTCTGATGATTTATAGATTTCTGGTTGTATTTCTATATTTATTTTTAAATATACTATGTGGATACTTAGTAGTATATGTCTCTTTAAGTTTGGATTAGTGTTTCTAAAATGGTGGAGTTACTTTGAATATTACAAGTGTATCAAGGCATTAAAATGTATGCGATTCACCTTTCCCCAAATCCAAGTAATGATGCTATTGTAAACAACAGTGTGTATAGTGCCTAAAAATTGTATGAAAATCCTTTTAACCATTTTAATGCAAATGTTTAACAAATCTAATCTCTTATTCTAATAAATATACTATCAAGTTAAAAGGCTGAAAGATTTATTTCTACTTTTGTGTCAGAATATTCAGCGTCTCTAATACATAAGAAATCAGGTGATTTAGCCAAGCGTTATTTGTGAGGGGAAAGATAAAGATAGGAGGAAGGGGGTCTAAAAGGCGAAAATGCCACCCTGAGGACATCACTGCTTTGGACTAAACTAATGGGGCTTCCTGAAATTCCAATCTTTGGACTTTGTCCAACTCTTCTCAGCAAACACCCTAACCTGTGAGTCTTCCAACCACCTTTCCTGAGGACCTGTGAATAGATCCCATATGCTCCTTCTGTCTCTCTCTAAGGGAAAAGCGGTGTGTGTGTGTGGGTGGGGGGGGGGGGGCTGGTAGGGTTGCCAGCATGCTCAAAGAAGCGCCTTGCTGGTGAACAGGGCCTGACTGGCATTGGAGCCTCCACTGGGATGGTCTGTCCATGCTGCTTGCTCCACCTAGCAATGGTTTCCCTTTCACTGGTTATCCTCTACACCAGTGTTTCCCAAACTTTTGACATATGTGTACCCCTTCTATAATTTTCGTAATGCTCAGTACTCCTCGTACTCATGAGAATGTGAATTAGGCGCAGCTAAGCACGGTGCAGTGCATATCCCCACCAAACTCTTCCCATACCCCGGGGGGTACGCATACCACACTTTGGGAAACACTGCTCTACACCTTTCTGGAGAGGAGGAACATCTGGCTTTGGTTTTGCTATGTCTGTGAGGTGGCAGTGAGGTCACAAATAAAGCTTATATCCGAGCTGGCCACTGGTCCCCATTCCTTCTTTGAAAAGTGACTTTTGAATCTTGAGATCCAGGTGAGGCTGCCTGGTCAGCACCTCTTCAGACTTCATTTTCTTTTTGTCAGGGCAGGTTATAGAAAGCCAAAGAAAATACACAGGTGAGCCGGCACCGGTTTGGCTCAGTGGATAGAGCGTCGGCCTGTGGACTGAAAGGTCCCGGGTTTGATTCCGGGCAAGGGCATGTACCTCGGTTGCGGGCACATTCCTAGTGGGGGGGGTGCAAGAGGCAGCTGATCGATGGATGATTTTCTCTCATCGATGTTTCTGACTCTCTATCCGTCTCTCTTCCTCTCTGTGAAAAATCAATAAAAAATGTTTAAAAAAAGAAAATACACAGGTGGGCAAAAGAAGGGTCACAGTTGTGAATACGCCAAAGTTTATTCTGATGTTATTTATTCATTGTTTTTACATACAAATGACTGTAAACCTACTTTTGCCACACCCTGCATATTTAAAAACAAAAAGCCTATTTTCATATTAAAAACAGAATTTGGATAAATCTCCTGAGCCAGATAGTGCCACTCGGATCTATCAGAGCTTTGGAATTCAGCCAGGATTTAAAAAACTGGTGAGGGTTGTACACTGCTGCCTCAGCTAGTCAATATTTTTTTTCTTGCTATGAGGCTAATATCTTTTCTAAGCAGGCTAACATACATTTTTGGCATATAAATATTCAGGCTGAGGTTTAAGATTCACACCTTCTTCATACTGCCTTTTGCTAATAGGTAAAATGCAACCACTACTGAGAACATCTCATTAAAACGGGAAAATTCCATCTGAGACAGAAAGTGATGTAACCTGTATCTTTTGAGGGATGTTTTTAAATTCTCTTCACATCCAAAGGTATTACATTTTGAGAGGCAAAAGATACTTTTTCCAGTAATTACTACGATCTCATTTTCAAGAATGACGATCTCATTTTCAAGAATGATGCTCCTTGCATCAGTCTTGCTGTTTTGAGTTCTACATGCCAAATTCCTTCCTCAAACTTCTTACTGAAACACCAACAGTAGTTGGGTTTTTCAGTATCTTATTAGCATCTCATAGGAACCTGTAAAAATCGTGAGAACAGGTACAGATACCCTCATTTAACAGATGGGAAAGTGAGAGTTGCAAAGATGTGAGAGGGCAAGCAATCAGATTTTCTAGCTCTTAGAAATGCATGCTCATATTTTAAGTTAGATGCCCAAAATGTATGCCTTGAGGCTTTTCATTGAAAAACCATCTTCACATTGTTTTCTAAGAAGCATCATTTAAACTTCCTGCTATCTTCTATGAGTAGCTCAAAATAACTAATGAAATGTTGATTAACAAACATATCCATGCTCTCTCTTCTGGAACAGTTACATAAGATGTTCTGCTTGAGGAGGTTCTTTTGTGTTTTGTTTGGCTTTTCTGTTGCATGGACAGGGCAAATCCTATATAATAAAGGGGTAATATGCAAATGGACCATCATTCCAACACACAAGATGGCCACCACCAGATGGCTGGCAGAGGAGGGCAATTGTGGGCGATCAAGCCAGTAGGGGAGGGCAGTTAGGGGTGACTGGGCCAGAAGAGGGCAGTTGGGGGTGACCAGGCCTACAGGGGAGGGCAGTTAGGGGTGACTGGGCAGGCAGAAGAGGGCAGTTGGGGGCCACCAGGCCTGCAGGGGAAGACAGTTGCGGGGGAGACCAGGCTTTCAGGGGAGGGCAGTTGGGGAAAACAAGGCATGCAGGGGAGGGCAGTTGGGAGGACCAGGCCAGCAGGGGAGGGCAGTTAGGGGCAAGAAAGCTGGCAAGAGAGGGCAGTTAGGGTTGACCAGGCCAGCAGGGGAGGGCAGTTGGGACAAGGCCTGCAGGGGAGGTCAGTTGGGAGGGACCAGGCCAGCAGGGGAGGACAGTTAGGGACAATTGGGCCAGCAGGGGAGGGAAAGGGAGGGTAGTTGGGGGTGACTAGGACTGCAGGGGAGGGCTGTTAGGGTCAGTCAGGCTGGCAGGGGAGCAGTTAGGCGTTGATCAGGCTGGCAGGGGAAAGGTTAGGGGGTGATGAGGTTGGCAGGCAGAAGCAGTTAGGGGCAATCAGGCAGGCAGGTGAGTGGTTAGGAGCTAGCAGTCCTGGATTGTGAGAGGGATCCCAGATTGATCAGGCTGGGCTGAGGGACACTCCCCACCCCCCAGTGCACGAATTTCGTGCACCAGGCCTCTAGAAACTTTCATAAAGTAACTACTTAACTGTACATTCAATGGGAAAAGGACAGTATGCAGAAATAAATCTCAACTTCAAACACTAAGTTTTAACACTTATTCTGTATCATCTCTTTATTATAAAAAATCCAATCTCCCAAGCATAGTGATACCTTCTTTGATGGCACATTTTTTCCGAAGTTCGGAAATGGGCTGTACTGTTTTCCCCAGAGGGACTGAAATGCTTCTCTTGTTGCTATCTGGAAACCAGGTAGCTGCATGTTGGCTACTCATCTACAATTTATTTCTATGCACATTTTATCACTGTGATGTCTCAACCTAGCAGTGATTACAGCCACACAAAACAGTCCAAAGTGGGCAGTGTGTTGCGATGTCACTGAGCGGTGGCAGCAGCTGGTGCTCTCAAGTGGTGTTTTGTCCTCATCTTTCTCTCCTAGACTTTGGCTATGCTTACAGGGTTCAATGGTATGCAAACAGCCTTTAATTGGTTTGCTTAAAAGAGGCATTGTTGATTGAAAAGGCTGCCTTGTACTTACGCTCTGCCCTTTTGGCAAATGCCAGATTTGCTCAATAGCATTTCAGAGGAAATCTTCTGTTTTGAACACAACTACTGGATCTGACCAGAATACAGACACAGCACCACCCATATTGCTCAATGCTAAGACACTGCATCTTTGCCTTTCTATATGTCACTAATTTTTGTTAAATATTCTGAAACTTGAATTATTGTCAACATCCTCCTAAAGTTCTTGCTTCCTTTTAAAGCAGGCCATTGGGCCTGGGGCAAGAATACTTTAGAGAGAAAGTTTCTGCGACTTAGAATTTTAATTTGCGTAACTAACCCTGGCTCTTTCCCCACTTCACGAATCTGATTCCTCTTCCTCCTCTTCCTCCTCCTCTTCTGGTGCACGGCTCCTTGTGCTCAACTCCAGTGCAGTTTGGTTGATTGAAGCTTCATTGTCTACATGCACCACCATCTGCTTTAGCCAAGGACATTATGAATTAGTAGGAGAACACTAGTCTCAAAACAGCAAATTCTTAAAAATGGTTTAAAACCAAATCTCAATTGTGTATTCATTCCCAGTATTTACCATTAAGAGGTATGGCCACTTTCTTGCTTCTCCAAATTCTACCCTGTCCGCCCTCCACCCCAACCTGAATTGCCAAAATGGGAGGATAAATGCCGTAGGTGTGACAGAATGTTACCTGATTTACAACAATGGTTCTTACATAAGAATTATGCTGCTTTCGAATGGGCTTAAGTGGCTTCACACACAACTGAGAGAGCTGGTAAACTATGGTAAATTTAGAAAGATGATTTTACTGATTAAATGAGGGCATTTGGTAAGAGGAGGATACAATGAAGATCAGAACTCACTTTTTAGCACTATGCTTTGTAGTTGAAGCTACACTACTTTTGAACACAAACTTATTTGTGGAGCAGCAAGAGGTGTGACATATCCTGCAAAGATCTCTACTCTCCCCGTGTTCATTAGAGTAATGAGAGGATGAATGACTAGGATGTGGAGGCAATATAAGTATCTAATTAATAAGTCAATATTAAATCAATTAAAGTGTAACAAGCAAGGCTGTTCCTTGACTAAAACAGTAATATTGAATAGCCGGCTTATCAAACTAGAATATTCTTATCAGTGCTTCCCAGTCCTTTTGGCTTGATAATGTAATTTACAACAATGACAGCAGAATGGACTTTGCATTTGCCCCCTAGGCCCACACTTGATTAAGCTTACATCATGTGACTGTTCCTGTGCAGCTGGAGAAGACGGCCTCTTATCCTCTCTTCCAGAACTAATCATTGACTGGAGGGCCAATTCTTCAACCTAGAAAAGAAGAATTAGAACATTCTCCTTACTATTCCACTGATGTGGGAAAATTTACTGTCCATGCTGTAAAAGGTTGGCATCACAAGTGAAAACAGTGTAATCTCCCTGCAGCTCCCAGGAGAAGGGTGGGGCTCTTAAGCTTTCCCTGCCTTTTAAGAAAATGAGCAAAGAAAGCCTCCAGCCCCCTTCCTCTGAGGTGCACAGGTGTTCTGACCGAGCCAAGATCCACTAGCCCAGACCAAGCGGTTCGGGGAAGAAAACACAAGTGAGCCCTTTAAAAAGCCAAATGTCAAATTCTGATTCCAGAGGGCAGATTCCGTAGGCTTGAGCTTCTCTAACTAGTATTGAGAAACTGAAGACAGGAAAAATGGAAGTGTTTCCAGGAGCATAAAGAAACTTAGGCTTCGGAGGTAATTATCAACACACACACATTAGGTGCCTTTGCGGCCCTGTGGTGCTGAGAATGTAAGTAACTATAGGCTACCACAACTGTCCTGAGGAAAAGTGCATATTATTTTGATACATATCACAGTTGTGTGCAATCCTTTTCAATTTACAAAGGGCTTTCATTTGGAATAGGAGTTATCAGGATCATGGTACTGGGGCTGAATTACGCAAAGATCTGGGGAGAGGTCCTGATGGGCCTAAATCTCTACTCTCAGTCAAAGTCATCACTCCAGGAAGAAAAGCTATTGGGAACTCTGAGACAAGTCTTTTCTCTCGGGCCTCGTCTTTTTTCGCACAATAGAGAATGTGACAGTCTCTTTAGCTTTGCAATACTAGAGCTGTTTCAAGCATCAATACAAGCGGGGAAATAGCGGCTAGTAAACGCCACGCGAGCTCTGGAGGAAGAGGCCGGTGGGCGGGGAGCATCCACACGAGCCTCCGGGAGGTGGCGCTTCCCCAAGCTTCCGCATTTCAGGAGTGTCGGGTGTGGGGATGAACTCGCCAAATGTGCAGACTGCTGAGCCTCAACCTACACCTACAGGATCAAGGGCCTTAATTTTAAAAACAAGCTTATCAGGGGCTGGTAAGCCACCAGATCAGCGCCCCAACCGCCTGTAGAGAGCGGGATCGCCAGCAGCACGGGGCCGCTTCCGACACCAGGGGCTCGCGCAGAGCCGGGCTGGGGTGGCGGCAGGGGGCCGCGGGTCACCTTGAGGCGGTTCAACTGGTCGTGCAGTGCCGTCTGCAACCGGAGCAGCGTCTCCTCCTCCTTGCGCAGCTCCTGGAGCCGGCTCAGCATCGCGTCTCCACACGCCCGGTGGCTGGGCGCTCGGTGATGACGTCACAGTGCCCGCGTCACCGGAAACGGAACAGCTGGCCGGCTGCACGTGGGCTGGAGCGCTTCCTGCCCACTCCACCCAGCAAGGAAGGGGGCTTTTAAGGTTATAAAACCTGACCTGGAGTAATGACCAGGATTCCGAAAGCACAGGCCCTTGGAACCTTAAAGAATATGAAGGTAAAAATGCTCAAGAATCGCCCTAGCCAGTTTGGTTCAGAGGATAGGGTGTCGCCTGCAGACCTAAGGGTCCCGGGTTTGAATCTTGGTTTCAGGTTCCTCCCTGATCTCACATGTGTCTTCCCTCCCTAAAAATCAATGGAAAAATATCCTCCGTGAGGATTAAAACTCAAGTACCGTTTCCCTGAAAATAATACATCCTCCGAAAATAAGACCTACTTACAGGTTTCCTTCTGAGTGAAATATAAGGCATCCCCCCGAAAATAAGGCCACCCTAGGCTGAACATGAGATATTTGGTCCACTGATTCTGAAAGAAATGGAGTCACAAATTCACCAGGAAATTCAGGAATTGGATTATGATGTTCCAGAAGATATGTCATTGAATAAATCAAATTCTTGATACTGTAGGATTGTCTGTCTGGTTTGTGTTGACAACTACCGTACTACCGTACCACCATACCATATACAGGTAATAAATTTCCTTTATTTTCATTTAACAATAAATGTGTACCATATTCTTCATGGAAAAATAAGACATCTCCTGAAAATAAGACCTAGCACATCTTTGGGAGCAAAAACTAAAGACAGTCTTATTTTCAGGGAAACAGGGTAGCATTCTTGACCTGGTGGTTCTGTCGGTTGAAGCGTTGACCAATACACCAAAAGGCCTTGGGTTCCACTCAGGTCAGGACATACCTAGGTTGTGTTTGATCGCCCATTGGGTGCTTACGGGAGGCAACCCATTCATGTTTCTCAAATTGATAAACATCGTTGGGTAATAAAATAATAAAGCTCAGATGTCCAGTTGCAAATGTTTCAGGGGCACAGTACTCCCACTCCCAATGTGATGTTACAATTGGTTAATGAAAATGCACAAATCCTACAAATGCATCTTTTAAGGAACTAACATTAGCAGTTTTTAGTACAGGCACAGGTGCCCTAGAGCTTTTGTAGATTCCTGGTTAAATGTTTCCCAGTGTCAGTACAAGTTAGACCATGAACATAAAGCAGCTAACAATTTGGGGGGGGGGGCAGTATCTTGAAATACTAGGGAACTATCTCTTTAATATGCAATTTGTAGTATTATACATCAACCTTACTATGGATCTTAAGACTCCAATGGGAGAAAAGATCCAGATGTGAGTCAACTCTATAGTCGAGACATTGAGTTTAGAAAAAAAACATGCTTGTGCATAATTTTCCTGCACCATGCTTACGAATGTATTCATTCCTTAGTAAAACTGAATACACAAGTGGTTCTGAAAAATACTGTCACTCTCCCAAGACCAAATACTGAGTGGCAAACACCCTCTAACAGTGCTATATTGTAACAAGAACACTTGCTGCACCTCAAAACTTGTTCTGATTGTGCCCTCTTGTGGTTACTGAAAACATTCTATTTAATTTTTCCAAGTGGAAAAGGTTTTTTTTTGTAGCATGTGTGGAGGGGTGGCTAAATTTTAACAAAGTCTATATTTAAGACAAGTCTTTCAGCCATTGCTTTCTCAATACATTGCTTACGAAATGGACTCTACATTTTAATTTATGGAGCATCCCTTTTCATTAAACAGCGTGGATTCTGTATAAATCCAATGCTCCGTTTTAGACTGGACTAACAAATGTAAGGTTGAAATTATAGAGAACAAAATGGCAATTAAAAAACATTGTAACCAAGATTCACAAAACAAATGCAAAAAGTTATGTTTCTCATTGCCTTTGATCATATTTTTATTCAAAATTAGCTGTCCGAAGTAAAGTGACTTGACCGTTGTGGAATAAACAATTTAAGTTTATGCCACGGGCTTCTTCTCTTCTGTGGTGGGTTTCTTTTCTGCGGGCTTCTTCTCAGCTGCTGGTTTCTTGGCAGCTGCAGCCTTTTTCCCCGCCACAGGCTTCTTCTGCTTCTTAGGGCCCACGGCCTTCTTTGCTTTCTTCCCCACCACAGGCTTCTTGCCTGGAACCCCCTTCTCATCTGACTTGGCTTCCAGTGCTGCTGCTGCTTTATCCAGCCGAAGCTTGTGCTGCAACAAATTAAGGAAAATCTAAGAATCAAATTATCTCAAATGCTACCCTATATGCAAAAGCCAAATCATCGCTTACGTTCTTGGCCTGACGAAGAATGGTGTTCCGGCGCATGGTCTTTGCATATGGGTTTAGCTTCAACATGATTCTCAGGTTCTTCAGTGGATTCTTCTTCAGGACTCTGCGGTGAATCTTCTTGCTATAAAAAGGTAGACACTATATTAACATTTTATTTACATTAAAAATAACCAAGTATAATGAGATTGAGGCAAGAGTTACATAAATATCACAACGTTACCGTGGTGCACGCAGGGCTCTTTGGATCTCTGGGCTTTTCAAGATTCTGCTCAGGTCTGTATTGAGCATCTTGTGCATGGGAAGACTGAAAGAAAAACCAAGAAAATGCTGAAAATAGATGTCCAACCGTATTTCTCATGTGATTAACATGAACCTCAACAGAAGATAAAGTGATTCAAGTGAAATTTCCAACTACACTACCACTTCATAAGAGTATCTTATTACCATTTTAGCATATTATATCTGTATAAGGGGAAATAGCAACAAAGCAATCCACTATTTAGGAAACCAATTCTGAATATAAATACTTATAATATAAAAATCTATGTTCAGTTTATGAACATAAGTACACTCACTTGTAGTTACTCTTGAGGGAGGCAGATCTACGCCAGGTGCCATACAGCTCATCTAACTTGCGGAAAGCACCTTCAGTCCAAATGCAGAAGCGGCCCACATGCCCTCCAGGTGCAAGTTTCAAAATGTTCAGTTTGCTTACATTAAGCAGAGTAATTCCTTTTAGAGGGAAAGAATTAGGGAGCATATATTTAAAAAGAAACATAAATCATCCTGATGGCTTATGTGATAGATAAGATACCTTAGAACTATTATCAACTACGAAGTTTCAACCATTAATTGTATACATTCACTCATTCAGCCAAGAATCAGACACTCCACAAAATCATGTGTTTCAGAAACACGGACCATTGAGTGGAATCTCATCATAATAAAAGCTGAGTAAGCATGCATAGCACGGGCAATCAAAACACGTAGGCAATACAATTACCAGGGATGTTCCTGAAGGCTTTGATGATACCGTTGTCCTCATTATAGATGATACAAGGTCCCCTGCGCTGGATACGACGGCGGTTTCTCATTTTGCCCTTGCCAGCCCTCATTCGCTGAGAGGCATAGACCTACAAAGTGCGAAGCTTTAGTATTCTGGTTAAGATGATCTCAGTAAGATTTTGTTACAAAACACCATTTTATAAATAAAACTGAGATAAAAATGACTTCTGTAACACTAAAACACAGCTACAAATGGCAGAATCCAAACCCAAGGTCGGTTTACCCATTGCCTAACCACATTTCCATCAATGACAGACCCATACAGGCAATTGTACACTACCATTGCCTAAGTGTGTAATAAGCAGGCTACATACCATATAATAGCCACATAAGATCACCTAACAATGCATTTCTAAAACTCTATTCTTGCTAAGCAGTACACAATATGGTTCCAGAGTTCTTGTTCTTACATCTAAAATTTGTCGTTAATACCATCCTTCAGCAATCTTTTCAAAAAAAAATTCTGACAAGTTTGAGGACTACCAGCACCTGTAAATGTGTTCATTAAACCTACCTTTTTTATATCATTCCATGCCTTAAGTTTCTTAAGAAGCAAAACAGCCTCCTTGGTTTTCTTGTAGCCTTCAACTTTATCTTCAACCACCAAAGGAAGTTCAGGAACTTCCTCAATACGGTGACCTGACAAAGCCAATTAACAATGACCTGGTTACCCTGAACCTTTTGAAAAGCTGAGCATTTTATATAACCCACAAGAGCAAAACAATATACAAATTGCCAAATCAGAACTTCCACAAAGTTATCATGTGTTTCAGAAACACGGACCAATGAAGTGGAATATCATCATTTTGACAGTTAAGTATTGTAGAATAGGCAACATGATGAAGTTTCAATGGCAAGTTTCTACCGTGTTTCCCCCAAAATAAGACATCCCCCAAAAATAAGACCTAGCGCATGGGAAGATAAGACATCCCCTGAAAAGAAGAACTAGCGCAACTTTGGGAGAAAAAATTAATATAAGCACTTTGCCAATGACTGATTTGTTAGATTGAAATGGTCAGAATTAACATGTAATAATAAGGAATTTAGGCACTCTGGAATGAAGTTTACATATTATTAACATAATGAATAGGTACAGGCAAAGGAAGGGGAAAAAAACGGGTATTTGTTAACACTTAAACAATAAAAAATATCACAAACCTTTAGACATGACCAGCGCTGGTAAGGCTGAGGCGGCGAGGGCAGAGCAGATGGCATATCGTTTTTGTGTTGTGTTTACTCTGCGGTGCCAACGGCGCCAGGTTTTGGTTGGTGCAAACATGCGGCCCCCACGACACATCTATTTTTGCTAGTTAAGAATCACATTTCTCAAATATTAGGGGGAAAAGACTCTCTTGCTCAGTAAGAATTTTCGTCACCCTTTTGAACCAGCTGACTGACAGCAGGCAACTGTCGCTGAGAACAGAGTAGGACGCAAATTACGACATCATTGCAAGCAAAACTTTCTAATGCCCAGCACTTACTGTGTTTAGTATTTATCAGAAAATCTTCCAGATTCCAAATCTGTCTGTCTAGAGTTATCTGGATGCTATTAATATTTTGGACAAAAATATCTTAAAACTTAACATGAATAAACCAGGTCTAGCTAGCCTGCTGAATTCCATGATGGCTGACCAGTCAGTCTCTGTAGTGACCACAAAAGATACATTTCCAAAAGCACCCTGGCCAGAACGATGAGTTCCACCACCTCGGACTCTGGGAATTCGAGCCACAGCTCTGCCAGTACCCCAGGACTCGGCACTGGTTTGATGACCTGAAATTGGGAAAGAAATAGAAGTTTTAGCTACCCAACCATATCACTGAGACTATTACGCATAGCAGCAAACAGCATCAGAACATCCAGGAAAATCATCTGATTCAGAAACACGGACCAATGGAGTGGAATTTCATCACTACTGTTTAAGCAGCTCTTAAAGTATCAACCGATAAAAAGATCTAAATTCATACCTGCCAATTCACTGACAGCATAGGGTTGTCTATTGTTTTTGCGCAAGTTGGTGTGAACGAAGTTCACAATATCTGGTCGAATGGGAGCCTTGAACACAGCAGGCAAAGTGACATTTTTGCCAGATGTTTCCCCCTTTTCAGAGTACACGGATATCAGTGGACGAGCACACGCCTGGGAAAAAGGAAAATATAATTATTCCAACAAGCAGTGTCAGAAGCACTCCTCTTATGTGCCAATAATTCCATTAATTGCTCAGTTACAAAAAACTAGTTTGGTGGGGTAGGCACCGATTACAGCTAAAACAAAGTCTATTAACTCAAAGATTGTCTTGCTCAGGAAGAATTTTCGTCACCCATCTGAACCAGCCCACTGACAGCAGGCAACTGTCGCTGAGAACAGAGTAGGACGCAAATTACAACATCATTGCAAGTAAAACTCTTTAAGCTGAAAGGAAACTCAGAATCAAGTTCTGCGAAGAGTAAGAGAATAGTTTATCATTAAACTTTCCAAGCAAGGTCTACAAAGAAAAACGTCCAAAAGCATATTTTAAGGTTTGGAAATGTTAAAGCCACTAAACTCTTTTACCCTAGATGTTAACAAGTCTTGTCTACCACAACTCTACTCTCCCCACTGTTTCATCCTTGTCCCCTTCATCCCATTCTAAACACATCTTCCAAAATTTCCTAGAGTGAACACTCTGGCTGTTACTTTTTGCTCCACCTTCTCCAAAGATTTATCACCTGAAAATAAAACTTTAAGGTTGACCTAGACAATATGCTCAGCCTCATCTCCCATCTTCTCTTCAGAGTAATTATCACTCTCCTACCCGAGTCTTCTCCCTAAAGATGCCCTTAGCATGCTTTCTCACCTCTAAAGGCGGCCCCACCTTCCTCGGATCACCGTTTAAGGCCCAACTCCTGCCTCCTTCCCAATTCCTCATGTCCACAGCACTCACGACCACCAATCGTTTCTGTGTATTTTACACCTAACTCAATCGCGATGCAAACATCATACAGATAGGTTTTCGTTGTGTTTTGTTTTTGCCTATTTTGTTAACTGAACTCCCCAATGGCCCGGAACACTACATAGTATAAACACACTCTGTGGAAACGCGACACACTTAATATTCACCGTACAACGAGCTGGCTGAAAGCGAAAACGTTTAGGGGACACCAAGTAGGAAAAACTAATTTTTAAGTTAAGAGGTTCAGAAAGCTTGATAGTGGCGATTCTTAAGGCGAACAAACAGGAACTCAGAAAACTCTCTTAAAAATCTCTCTCATAAGACGGAATGTTCCTTACTCATCAGCAACTGGAGATACAGGGCCTAACGCTGACTCCCTCACCACCATCAGTCTTAGCAACCAACAACTTCCGAGTCTTCCGCGGAGCCCGTGCTACCTAAGGACAAGGAAAGCCAAAACGCCTAAAGTCCTGTGTCCGAGAACCCCGCGCCGGAGGCCCACGTTGCCTCTAAGATGGCTGCCCTGGAGCCACACTACCCAGCTGCCCGCCACAGACGGACGCATTTGGTCCTCAATCTCCTTTCCCTTGCGCTCCCTCCTGAAACCTTATGCTCAGAACCCCAACCCATTCCTGCCAGGCCCGACAGCACGGAAAAACCCGACCGAGAGAAGTCCCACTCACCATGGCGGAGAAAGGAGAGGGCCACGCTCCTCTCTACCCGGCGGCTCCCACAGGAAAAGGAAGTGCCTAGCACTCCCTCGTTCTATATGTCACCGTAACGCATTCCCCACCCGGCCCCGCCTCAGGGCCAACCCAGACACATAAATACCTCTCTGCCACTCCGAAAAAAATAGAAATAGCATGCTATTTGTTAATCTTAGTCAAATGACGGTATCTATCGGCTTCTACAGTCAACAATTGCATTTAGAAAGGAGGGACTCCTTTCGGCGGAGTAATCCGAAGCAGGCGTGGCCAAATCTCGCGAGATGAGGTTTCTTCCTTTCAACTATTTCTAACGTATTTTAACTTTTTCTTAGGGAAATGAAAAGTTATTGAGGAAACTAAAAATTAAAAAAAGCTATTGGGAAGGAGAAAACCGCTGTGTGCTTGAAAGCAAGACTTTAACTTGTGAACCAACGGGACCGGCCGGGGAAGTAGTCCCGGCGGGGGCGGGGCCGGGCGCCGGGCTCCGGCCTCCCGCGCGAAGTTTGTTTGGAGGCCTGTGATCTGCCGCTGGGCTGAGGCGGGATGTGGTCGCGAATAAACCGGGCTGCCGAGGAGTTTTACACGCGTCTCCTGCAGTGAGTTGTAGCTCCTGCTCTTGGCTGGGTTGCGAGGACAGCTTTACTCCCTCGGGGTATCTGTATATCCCTCTCCCCTCAAACCTTTTGCCGCAGCCATGGGGATTGGCGCGTATGCTTTCCTGTGCTCCGGGGGGTTGTCTGCCCCGGTGTGGCCCTGAAGTGTGGTTTAGGAGAAAATCCCTGAACGTTATGGATCGCGGTGGGAAGGGACACATTTTCCAAGAGGCACCTTATGCACTCTGAGAGTGCACGCACCTCGCAGCATGGGGGAGGAGGCACTTTCCTGTGGATGGAAAACCGGAGGTGGGCATCCTTCCCCTGTGTGCAGCCTCGCTGGTGTGAACCTTACTCCTATGTAGCCTATTGAAAGAAGTTATCATATGAGCCACAGTTATGATAACGTGTTGTTGTGTTGGCTCACTGTGTTCTGAGATTGCATTTCATTCTTTTTAAAAAATACGTTTTCATTTATTTCAGAGGATCACTGATCGGCCGCCTCCTCCACGCCCCCTACTGGGGACTGAGCCCGTAACCTGGGCTTGTGCCCTGACAGGGGAATTGAACCCTGACCTGATTTATAGGTCAGTGCTCAACCACTGAGCCATACCAGCCGGGGGCATTTTATCCTAATAAAGTAACAGAACCAGAGGGGATTCCGTCTAGTCCTGCATCCGACCTAAAAACTGAATGCCGGAGCCCTCACATTGGAGCGTACATCAGAATCAGAATGCTGGGCCCCACCTCCAGGGTTTCTTATTTTGTAGGTCTGGGTGGGGCCAAAGAATTTGCCTTTCTAACAAAATAAAGCAGATGCTGCTGGCTGACACACTTTGAGAACCACTGGTATAATCTCACCCCTTGTTTTCTAAATTCTATAAATTTTCATTGTTTATTGCTTTCTTCTGCTTACAAAAGTGGTTATTTTTGTCAACTTTTTAAAAAATATATTTTTATTGATTTTTTTTTTTTTTTTTTTTTTTTTTTTTTTTTTTTTTTTTTTACAGAGAGGAAGAGAGACGGATAGAGAGTTAGAAACATCGATGAGAGAGAGTCATCGATCAGCTGCCTTTTGCACACCCCCTACTGGGGATGTGCCCGCAACCAAGGCACATGCCCTTGACCGGAATCAAACCCGGGACCTTTCAGTCCGCAGGCCAATGCTCTATCCACTGAGCCAAACTGGTTTCGGCATTCTTGTCAACTTTTAAAATATATATATATTTTATTGATTTTTTACAGAGAGGAAGGGAGAGGGATAGAGAGTTAGAAACATCAATGAGAGAGAAACATCGATCAGCTGCCTCCTGCACACCCCCTACTGGGGATGTGCCTGCATCCAAGGTACATGTCCTTGAGTGGAATCGAACCTGGGACCTTTCAGTCCACAGGCCCGACACTCTATCCACTGAGCCAAACTGGTTTCAGCTCTTGTCAATTTTTTTTTTTATCGTTATGGAAAGAACACTAGCTTTTTAAGATAACAATGTCTTGGATAGCTTCCAGTATGAGCACCTGTAGATCTCTTTGTTTTTATTAATGGCTATATAATATTTCATTCTGTATTGAGAAATGTACACATGCTTGAGAAAGTATTGCTGAATGATTGATTGTCATTTCTGAGTTGTACATTAAATACAAACATCTTTACATAAAGACATAAAGTCACAGTCTTGTCCAAATGGCAAAAGTGAATCAGTCTCAAGCTTATATTTTCCGTTTTGTTTCAGTAAATCATAGGGAAGATCAAATAATGCGTGGTATGCTGAAACAATTCCATTGGATTCCTTTAGGACACACGATTCTTTCCTCACTCTGGCCAGTGTGACTCGGTTGGTTGAGTGAGTGTCCTGTGCACTCTAGTGTTGCCGGTTTGATTCCTGGTCTGGCTGGGCACATACATGCCCAGGTTTAGGGCTCGATTGCCGGTGGGGGGATGCAGGAGGCAGCCGAGGATCCATGTCTTGCTCTCAAATTGATGTTTTTTCCTTCCCTCCCTCCCTCCTTTTTCTTCTCTCTTTCTCTCTCTCTCTCTCTCTCTCTCTCTTTCTCTCCCCCCCACCCCCCTTTTCTCAGTTTGATTCCCCAGCCCTGGTTGGGGTGCATGAGGGAGGCAACCAGTCGATCTCTCTCTCACATCAATGTCTGTGGGTCTGCTTGTCTCTTTTCCCCCTTCCTCTCTCCAAATATCAGGGGACAAAATATCCTCTGGTGAAGAATAACAAAACAAAAAAAGTTAAATTCTCTTGACTGGAATGATTGTGCCTACATTATTTTATTATTATTATTTTGTTAATCCAAAAATTCCCATTGATTTTTAGAGAAAGGGAGAGGGAGAGAGAAACATTAATGTGAGAGAGACACAGTTGATTGGTTGCCTCCCACATGTGATCAGACCTGTTGGGGGATCTAGCCTGCAATTGAGGTATATACCCTAGACTAGAATTGAACCTGAGACCCTTCAGTCTACAGGCCGATGCTCTAACCATTGAGCAACCAGCTAGAGCTAATGTGATCAAATTTACTAATTTTTTTTGTAACAGCTCATAAAATTAGAGGGAGGACTAGATATTTCCATTTTAGCTGTAGAAATCTAAGGCAGGGTCCCTTAAAATAACTTTACTATGTTTGCCCATTGATTCATTGGCAGATCAAAATTCACTCGTTTTTATTTCCCAAAAGTCATGTGGTAAATTACATTTTAATAGTAATTAGTTATGTATTTTCAAAAAAGAGTAGAGCTGCCTCTTAAAAGCAGTTGTGCCCAATTATGGGCAGCAGTCTATTAATCTCTACTATATCTCTTATTTCTTTTTCTTCTTAACCTAATACTTTTTTCTGCTTTTCCCCCTCTTCCCAACTGTGCCTTAAGGCTGCCATGACTACTTTGCATTTTGCTGTTCTCACTGTTGTCATACACGATGACTAACTCTTGAGTTGAAATGACAGAATTCTGTAACTCTATTTTTCACATGTGGTTCTGCCTCACAGGGAATTTGATGAAGAAAAGAAAGGAATCTGTAAAGACCCATTTATCTATGAGGTATGAAAAATTTATCTGGTTTTTAAACACAACTCAATAATCCTAAAATTGTGTTTTAAGAGTTTATTGAAGTTAATTTAAATGGAGTAAATTTCATCCTTGTACAGTTCTAGGAGTTTTTAAAATGCATTCAGTCATATAACCACCTCCACCAAGATATAGACCATTTCTGTCACCTCCAAAAATTTTCTCACGTCCCTTTACAGTCAACCCTCTCTCCTGTTTCCAGTGCCTGGCAACCACTAATCTGTTTTCTGTCTCATTTTCTGTCTTCTCTTTTGTCTTTTCCATAATTTCATGTAAATAAAACCACACAATATGTAGCCTTTTGGGTTTGACTTCTACCAATGAATATAATGCATTTTGGATTCATCTTTGTAATTGTGTGTATTAGTCCATTCCTTTATATTGGTTATATAAATCGATTGTGTGAATGCGCTACAGTTTGGTTATCCATTTACCACTTGGATTGTGTCTAGTTTTTGATAGGTATGAGTGAAGCTGATATAAACATGTATTGATTTATTAAGCATCTAATATATGTAAACTCCCCATAGAAACGAGTAAACTAAGGTAAATTACGTACTAAAAGACAAATTAGCTGGGGAGAAAAAGAAGTGATAAGGGTTAACATCCATATATAAAAAATATATTTAAACCTCTCTAAAATCAATTAAGAAAAAAGACAACTATAATAGAAGGACACAAATAAGTAATGATGGGAAAAAAACGCCAGTATAGGCATCTTACACTATCTGAATTCTCACTAATTAAACTCGGAAATTCAATATATCCAGGTAAATGTATTAATCCATCCCTGAATTCTTGCCACTTGATATTTATTTATATTAGTTACCTAGGGCTACTGTAACAAATTACCACAGATTGATTTGCTTAAAACATCAGGAATGTATTCTCTTACAGTCCTGGCAACTAGGAGTGTGAAATCAAGTGCCTACAGGGCCATGTTCCCACTGAAGGCTCTGGGGAAGGCTCTTTCCTTGCCTCCTCCTATCTTTTGATTTCCAACAAATCCTTGGCTCTCTGAACTTGGTATTTAAATGCTTCAATAGCTAAAATAAGAAATTAAGCAGATTTACGGCTCCAGCAGAGCATCACAAAGATCATACACCATGACCAAGTAGGATTTATTCCAGGAATGCAAGGATGGTACAATATCCGCAAATCAATAAACGTGATACATCACATAAACAAATTGAAAGATAAAAATCATATAGTCATATCAATTGATGCAGAAAAAGCATTCGATAAAATCCAACACCCTTTCCTGATAAAAACTCTTAACAAGGTGGGAGTACAAGGATCATACCTCAACATAATAAAAGCTATATATGATAAACCCACAGCCAACATTATACTCAATGGGCAAAAACTAAAACCATTTCCTCTAAGAACAGGAACAAGACAGGGATGCCCACTTTCGCCACTCCTGTTTGACATAGTACTGGAAGTACTAGCCATTGCAATT